ACACAAAAGCAAACTCAGAATGGATGAAAGACCTAAACGCAACGCGGGAAGCCATCAAAATCCTAGAGGAGAAAGCAGGCAAAAACCTCTTTGGTCTCGGCCACAGCAACTTCTAACTTGACGTCTCTGGAGGCAAGGAAAGTAAAAGCAAAAATGAACTACTGGGACTTCAACAAGATAAAAAGCTTAACTGACTGAGTCACCCAGATGCCCCTCCACTGAGCAATTTTAATGGCTTTTCTTTAACCAGAAGATTGAAACAAAGTTCAGTCTTATACCAAAAAAAAGCCTCACGAATCTGTTCATGATTATTACTTTTTACTCCAAATTGTCTTTAATGAAAACTCTGCTCCTCCTTTAGATCTATGTTTATTAATGTGCTAGTCTGGGATCTTTCCCTTTTAGTTAAAAGAACCAAGAATGGAATGGGAAACTATGCCCACTCCAGGTTTAATTAACCTGGAAAACCACTTTGCTCAGACCCTAGATGAGTCATCTAGTGGAAAGACTGTTAAATTTTCAATTCTCAACTCCAGCAAATAAAGCCCCCCGCCCAAAAACTAGAAGCCTAGTTCCTGCTGTGACTGAAAGAACTAGGACATTGGAAAAAAAGATGGTTATAAGTTTAAGAGCTTCAAGGCCCTCCAGCCCTCTTGCCAACCTTTTCAATGTCCACCCAATTCCCAATGATGGGATTCCAAGGAACAATGGAGCCCTTCCCAACCCTGACTCTTAATCTCTTTGGAGAAACTACTCTCCAGATTGGGAATGAATATATCTCTGTCTTTACTGAAGCTGGAACTAACCCCAGTGCTATAAAGCAGCCCTAGCCTTGGAGTACAAAAACAGTTCATTTGGGGGGGACCTATTAGATCTCAACAGGTTCCTATCTCGGAACCTACTCCCTTTGATCCAGGCCCTTTGAGAGATATACATCCTATTCTCCTTAGTTCTTCGACCCCTATTCATTAACTGGACTGAGATTTCTTAGAAAAATACCATGCTGGAATTTCTCTTGTACAAAAGGGAAAAATAATTCTAGAATTTGACAACAGTAACCAAAATAGCAAAAAGGGGAAACAAGTGATCCTTTGGCACCTTTTCTGTGGCGTGTCTATGCTGGCACTATAGCTGAGTCTGGCGGTACTGATCATTTATTCCTACTGGATCAGCTACCATCCTCTTTATGGGAAAAACCTTCAACT